GGGCCCGCCCCCCCCCCCCACCACATAAAACAGTATTTTAAAATTTACACACCCAGTGCAGTGTGTAATTTTTTTTTTCTTTTCATGGAGTTTGGCTTTACACATGCTCCATAGAAGTGTATGGGAGAGTTCAACTTGGTTCTTCATCCTAATGGAGCGTATAATCATGGAACATGTAGTGTAAAGTGTAGTTTTATTGCAGGTCCTTGTACTTCACTGCACAAGCACAACTACATGCTCCATAGAGATGAATGGGAGAACCTAGTTGAGTTCCCCCATTGATCTCCATGGAGTGTACATGTGGAGGAAAGTAAACAATGCCGATGCAGCTGAATGCCAGGCAGTGTAGAGTTGAACCGCATTGCATAAGGTCTGATATTTTCTATACTACTAAAAGGTGTTGGGAGGACACCTGTACAATTTTACTATAAGGTTACAACTACCATTTAAAATAAATCTGTCAGCTATTTCAAAAGTAAGCATTTAAAGGACAAGCTCCAGAAGGTGTTTGCTGTTACTTTTAGTAGAAGGAAAAGCTCCTTGTGTGCATCACTTCTCTCCTGATTTATTTGATTACTATGGGCTTAAGTTTCCAACTTAAAGGCTAAACCACCCCACCTTCCCCTGTCCAATCAGAGTATCTTATTGGCCAAAGAGGTTTTCATTGGTAGATATGGTCAATGGGCAGCTTTTAACCCTAAAGTCAGGTAGGTTGAGATGGGATCAAAAGGCTCACGCAGAAGAAGTTTTGTGGCTAACAAAGATTATAGGAAAGGTCATTTTGAAAATGTTGCTTTTAGGCAGGATACTTACTCTTTTTTTATTTTTACAATTGCTGACAGGTTTACAAAAAGGTAATAAAGGAACCCTAAAGTCATCCACATTATTATTCTGCATTGTTCAATTTTGCTGCAAGCCACATCTTGGTATTGCAAGCAATTTATACTCTCCAGCATCTGCTGTCTAGAATATCCAGCTTTAAATGACCGCATGGCTCCTATAACCTCACAAACGCACACAAATGAAATTTTATCATACTGTTGAAAGTATTTTTAGTATAATTACAACAGAAGTATATCAAATCTGTCTTTTAATACATTACTAAGCATGTACAAACATGATATATAAGAACAATCCTTAACCTGTTAGGCATACTCACCCAAGCCAACCATAGAGTAACTGGGAGTTGGACAAAACACTTGTGCAGCAAAGTCTTCAAAAGTCATCATCTCTCTGTGGTTCTGTATTATTGCTTCAAGGTACAGAGCCCTTTCCTCATAGCTGGAATGACCGTGTTAAGGAATTGCACAGCAATCATGGAACAATTAAAAGAGGAGTATTCAAAAAAAAATTGCAAACTTTTGTTATGAATGAGCTGCTACTGATCTATTCCTAAGCTTTTGTGTGATAAGTGGCTAAACATTATTACTCGTGTGGTTAAACAATAATCATATTTAAATAACGTTATAAAACATTTATAATAGCGACAGTCTAATAACATCCTCTTCATTTCCTCTGCAGCCTCTCCTTATAATAATTTTATTTCATACTATGTACAGCAGATTATGCCTAAAAAGGATAACATTTTTCGAATCTGCTGTTATTATTGTAAGTGTTGGGTGTCATGGTATTATTTGAATGAAGTAAACCCCCTCCATCATGGAAAGCAGTAAGGTTCCGATTTGGGTCCTACCAAAGTGACTCATGACAACATACTTAATTTCTTCCTCCATCAGCAGCAAACTAAACAACGGAAGTTTGAATGCCAATATATACTACATTTGCCAGCCAAGAACTGGAGAAGGCCAGAGCATATTGCATGAAAGTATTTAAAGGAGAAGTATTGTAGGCAAGTAAATAAAAATGCTTATGCTTCACGTACGAAAGCGAGTGCTGGTGACTTCCATAATCAATTGAATCGTGACACAGAGCCATCTGTGTTATCACTGCTAGCACTGACAATTGAGAAACTGAACACCCTAACATTTGATGTTGAAAAACGAAAACCGCCTACTTTGTGTTCTGGAGACCACTGCCTCTACGACAGGAAATAAGATAAAATCTTGCCAATCGGGACAAAGACAACAGAAAAACCTTGAAACAAATTCTAATATTTCTGCACTATATAAACAAAAAAAAAAAAAATTCCATGAGGTTGATGTTTCTATACTATTGATATGAAAATATATAGACACAGGCCTGGGTCCAGCTTTCTATACATACACACTTTGAACACTGGAGATCAGATAGAAAACGGTAAAGTCACAGTGAGAATGTAGGAGTTTTCAGTTTGATGCAATGAACAGAAAAAGCAGTAAAGGTAGAAGTTGAGCATATAGAGCATACCTATCATTAATGCAAAGATAAAGTTATAGGGCAAGTGTGCTTAATGTAAAAAGCATTCTTTGTTAAACTAAACATCAATGTGTGGAAAATATTTCATACAGGGCCAAGTTTTTTATACTAAATAAAAATGTAACAGCCAGACAAGTGCTAATAAGACCCTGCTTGTCGCTTGTTAATTTGCAGGTTACAAAAAAATTGGTCTAGAGTGCTGTTGTGGTCATTATTGGTTGTGCTCCTCGAGACTTCAATTTAGTTAATAAGCTTGCAAACTTCCTTGGAGATCAGACACACACCCGTAGCAAATTCTAAAGAGAGTGCATCGTACCATTCACAATTCATTACAAGCATGCTTATTCCGCACAACGCTTGCTTTTGCCAGGACTCCATGCTGCACATTGCCACAGCAAGCCTCTGGTCCTGTTAACAGCAGGATACAAGGCCTGAGTGGCCGTCTGTCGGGCAAGCACTCTGACACTAAGCTGGCACGTGCTATATCAGCAGGAGGAGGCTACTGCGTGACAAATTACTGAAAGAGCCGAACTAAACTTATATCAGAAAGCCACCTGAGCCTGAGGACCTCTGCGGGCCCTGCCATCTCCCTACAATTCATCGGTCACTCATTTATTTGCAGTCTGCTTGAGTGTCCATCCTGACATTTCATGCACTGCTTGTTAATACCCTGCTGTTTAATCAGCAGAGTTGCCAGGAAAGCTACTAATAAAACTGTCTTCTGTAGATACTTTTTTTTTTTAGCGTCTGTTAAATGTGTAAACAGACATTTCCAACATCTAATACCTAACATTGACATCAGTGGTACAAGCCGCTTAAAGCAAAAGAGCAGAGAAGTGTCCATGGTGCTGAAAATGACTGCAAAGAGCCCTGGCACATGCTGCTGCCCGCAGAAAAATACAAATGCAATCATTATGAGGCCTCTGCTACTCCGAGGACAGGATGTATGCTAGTGCTGCAGGCAGGGGTGCAATGAGCAAATCATTTTCCCACAAGATGCACTGGTGACTACCTTTTACCACAATAGTATTTAAACCTAGGCAGTTAATTTACACTTATTAGGGCCTGAAATCCACCAAAACAGTAAAAAAAACCTGCATGTTTTCCATTACAATTACCTAACATTTGTATTCAATTTTATGTGGCTGAATTGAAACTACTGGAAAAAAAGCAACATTTAGTTGAACAGGCACTATTCAACTGAATGGGCAGAAGGGCATCTACATTATTCAGCAGAATTTATACAAACCTGCAGCAAGGTGACAGTAAACAACTAAATATCACACTGTATTCTGCATGTAAAATATAGCATATGCCAAAATAATAATTAATGTATTCAAAGTTTATTTAAAGCCATAATTGCTCAGTTTTGGAATAGAGAGGGCCATTGTTTTTGCTATGTCCCATTTGAGTGATTTTCCTAAACTGTCCTGGAGACAAAATTGAAGGGAGAGATTTTTTCAAAGCAAGAGAAATTTCCTTCAAACAGTTTTCACCAGAACAGGTGTTTCCACTGGGAGAATTCCCCTACTATTTCCTGGTCACAACTGTAACATTTTGGATTTACTTTCACTTTTGGTGCTGGTGACAATGGTCACGAGGACAAATAGAGAGGCTGAATCTCCCCAGCAGGGACAATGACAGCAGTGAAAACTTGACAGGTGTTTCCAATGTTCCCCACTTTAAACAAAACTTACTTTAGGGAAGAAAATGCTCATGGTTTCCCTAGAACACCAACTGTCAGGATAATCTGAAATGATTATGTGTACCTGTATGTAGCCAGTCCACCTACTCGTCAACATGTCAAAACTGAAAAAAGTCTCAGTATGGGAATATAAAATTCAAGCTACCATGATGCAACAGGTGCTGGTCCTAGATTATTCAATTTAAGATATGCCGTTATTCAGTATGATGTAGCAGACACAAGTTGCTATGCTCTCTCGTTGCTGGCAATGAGGTAAAAGAGTAAAAATTCCTTGTATATACTACTTTCAATAGTTCAATGTTTTAAAAGATATTTTAGTTTTTTTTTTTATAGTAAGGATAGATTTGTCCTTTACATTGATCAGTTGGATACACATAAATTTTACAAATTACATTCTTCTATATTGTGAGTAAAAAAGAAGCACTAAGCTTCCTAAGGTGGCCTAAAGCAGAGGATCACCTAGACTATGAACAAAGCACTGTGAAGCTTTCACAGCATAAGGGACTGAAGACTCTATTGTTTTCTGCATACATTTCTATTAAGTTTAACAATATGGAAATCTCATACTTACTACATAAACTAGATGGCCATAATATGGCGATATAAAGGCCTCCAACAAGGCAAAAAAAAAATAAATGTAAAGATACCTCCACTGACCAACATATTTACATATATTCAAGAAAACTGTCAAAAGCAGCATACACATTCCAAAATAATTCCTGATGCTTTTGTAATAACCAGGAGTCAAGTGAGGTGCGTCATATATATATTTTGGACCATGATAAAGGGAAAATACGTTATAAGCGATCGTGCTACTGAGGATCACTAGTGACATTAGGTAATTTGTAAAGTGCTAGAACCAAGAAAAAAGGGAGAAAATAATAATAAAGGATGAGAGAAAGGAACTGAAGGTAAGAAATATAAAGAAAAATGGGACAGATTCAGGAGGGATGGGGACAATTATGTGATGAAGAATGAATAGGCTATCAACAGCATAACGCAGGCATGGTCAGAGTATAACTTGGGAGACCTGTTCTAAAGACAACTGTTCAAGACAGGCGTAGCCAAACTCCGGCCCTCCAGCTGTGGTGGAACCACAGATCCCATACAACTAAATAACAACAAATGCAGATCTATATTACAAAGATATCACCATTTGATAATAACCTTGTAAATTGTTTGTGTCAATACTGGGTGGTTGTGTTGGTGAGTCAGGGTCTTGAGTGGTAAGCTGCTCTTTATTCCACTTGTGGCTCACTATTTAATAAGGGAAGACAGAGTCAGATCAGGGTGACTATGTGCAGGAAAGATAAAGGTGAGTCAACAGGTTGGATGAAAAACGGACAGGAGTCAAAAGTAAAGAAGTAAGAGGAGCGGAGATGCCAGTGCGGCTAGGGGGAGCTCACCCCACATGACGACCAAGGATCATGGAGTAAGAGACTCACTGTGTGAGTAATGTTTGAAAATGAGTGGTATCCCAGAAGAGAATTTTGGGCCTTAGTTCTTTCATACACGTCAGTATAAGTTGTTTATACGTTGGCAGAACTGGTTGTAGTTTTCCAGTGTGGGTGATTGCCCTCATGGATATTAAAAAGAATCAAAAATAATTTGAAGCAAAGCAAAGCTGATTTCATTGTACGAAATATACAATTTCAGAACCCCGATAGGGATGGTTTGGAACAGAGATAGCAGACAAGGCAACATTTCCATTTTGTAGAGTGCCATCCTGCTGAACCAGCTAAGGTTTTCCTTTTAGGGAGGTGTCAGTAAGGGTCTATAGTTAAGGTCAAAAAGTTGCATTAGGTTGGTTGGAAGGTGTATTCCAAGGAATCTTGAGTGCTGTGGGTTGCCAAAATAAACTGAAAGAGGCCTTGTAAGTGGGACACCCCAGTGTCAGAGAGTGTGAAATGTAAGGCTTCTGCCCTAAAAAGTGTGTAATACATCACTTTCGGTTTCAGTGTGTCACTTCTCCGGCTGCTGTGGCCAGACAAGAAGCTAATGAAGCCCAATCTGTGCTTCATCAGCTTCTTTGAGGTCCATAGGTGACATTAGGGGTCTAATAGACCCTTGATGTCTCCATAAAGAGGACCGGTCACATCCCCTGTGCTATCACATAGGGGGCTTGTTAGCCCTTATGTGATAGCAATGTAGATAAGAGTAGAGCAAAAAAGCTTAAAAATTAATAGTCACATATAAAAAAAAAATTAAAAAAGCAAAAAAA